ACACACACACACACACACACACACACACACACACACGGCTGGGGTGACCTCTTAGCATCCAGGAAGCCTTTGCTTAAGTCACAAGAATGAGTTTCATTCCTTTTCCATTATCTTACTTTCTTGCAGTGCTGGGGATCAAATTCAGGGCCTTGCTCATGCTAGACAAGTACTCTACCACTGAGTTATATCCTCAGTCCCCCTTTCATTATCTTTATCATCCTCTGCTTCTTTCTGCTCTTGTACAAGTAGAGTTTCATTTAGTCCCCCAACAGTTACTTGAGGCAATTATTGTTAATTATCCCAATCATACAAATGACAGGCCCTGAGATATTAAGTAACCTTATTCAAAGTTAGAGAATGAATAAGCAGAAAAGGGGTTTGAACGCAGGTAGTCTAACTCTAAAGCCCATTCCTTTAACCTGTCCCATCCCCCATGCTTTACCCTTAACCTTTGAGTGAAATAACAAGTGATATTCTTTTACTTTTTCTAAAAAGATACCTTAGAATTGAGACATGTTTAAATTTCATAGTACAGGTATTCAAAACTGCCATGGCAGCACTAACCTAAAAAATTCCATGGTGTTCTCAGGGAAAAAGAAAAGCAAGTATGGCAATAATAACTTCTTCTAACAATCAGACCTCAAAATTGAAAAGGCTCTTTGACATACATCATATTAATTTATGAAGCCATGAAATATTAAGATCTCATTTTATGTCGTGAAATTTGAGGTAGACATAACCAATATGAGTATCCTGGATTTTAGATTTTAATTCACCTGGGGTGTTGGCCTGATTAAGGTAATGAGTAAATTGGGAGTGTGACATGTTTTTTAAAAACTGGAACATTTTCACATTATTATGAACTACTTATACAATATTTATAATAGATAACAGGGTCAACTTCCAGTAAAAAGGGGCCATACCCAAAGATGCCATAATCTTTTGGAGCTCTGCTACAGATACCTGAACTAGTGTAAACATATCTAAAATCTGTTCTTGGTATTTCCAAAGTAGCCAACCTACACATCTGTATATGCACCCAAAGAATGTTATTAATGGTTCCATCATCCATTTCCTTCTTTCCTTCATTGTATTACATAAGAACTGAAAGAGTTCTTGATGTAGGAATCAACTGAACAGATCAATCTCTGAATTCCTCCAAAAAAGTTTTATTCAGAAGTACATGAAATTGTTTTCCACCTTTATCACTTACACCTAAATTCTCTATATATGAATCTTTTAATCCTTGTATTAATCCTTTAAATACTTTCTCATTTGTGCTATACAAACAGCTTGCTTTGTAATGGGAACAATGCTAAAATATCCTGAGAGCTAACACATACTCTTTTTTGAGTGTCCTATTTCCCTGATCTGACTGTTCTCTAAATTCAGGAATTATCCAAGCTGTGGCTGAAACTGTGACTTACCAACCTAACATCCACTTCTTCCATGCCATGAGAGATTCAATTTTATTCAGACAGCAATATTAACAGGCCCTAACCAACTCATCATGATTATTAGGACAATTAATATTTCCCCCTCACTTTTCCATACTCCTTCGCACATAGAGGTGTCCCAGTGAGAAATCTGCATGATTGCAGTGGATGAAAAGGACATCTGGATATGAGAAGAAGTGAATATTCTGAAAAAAGTATACTTTCCTGATAAAAGAAAGCCACTGTTCTTTGGGTGTTCTGCTACTTGAGGCAGAAAGCTTGTCTAACTCATTGACTAACATTCTCTGACAACTCCAAATAGGGGTCAAGCAGTCTTGTACATACTTGAAGTTTATATGTAAAACACATATGAAGTGGGACTATAGAGCCAGATCCATTCTAGCACCCACCTTGGCATACTCCAGGATAGACCTATACCAGAAAGGACTGGAACGTTTTATTCCACCTGACCCTGTCATCAAACCTCAAAATGTATTCCATATGGGAGCCAGAGGGCTTTACTTTTCAAGCTTTGTGAAGAATGAAATAAAAAATGAAAAGCAATGTAAATTTCCACCCTAGTCTCAAATGATCTTCATTAGAGAGCCATGTGAGTTATGAAACATAATTCCAGCCTACTTCTGATTTAAGTACTAATACACAAAAGGCATAAAAAGGAGAAATAAGTAAATATGGAGGATCTAGATGCAAGTAATTAAGGCTGTATACAAAGAAACACAAATTTTCCCAAAATGAAGTTGGAAAATGCAAAAGACCTGTTACTATATTATGCTAGATATCACCCAATTCACCTGAACTATAGTACTGATAACAATAGAATTGTGCAAGAGTGGATTCCTTAAGAACATCCCTAAACTCAATTTCATACGTGGTACAAACGGGAATCCATTACAACAAACTGAACTGCTATAATCAGAATAATCTTATCCTTGAATTCTTTAACCAAATTCCCCAGTATCTTCTAAAGAACTATTTTATTTATATGATAGTTATTTATTACCCAATTGAGTATTTAATACCTATTTGGCTTGTTAGTTGAAGGGTAGTCATTGACCTTTTAAAGATGATTTCAGTGGACAATTTGAGTGAATCAATGTCTTTATCAGCTTTATTGCCAAATAAAGGTTCATATTTAAAGAAAACAATTATTACTCTCTCTTTTGAGGAGAAGACTTATAGCCCCCAACAGACTCTTAAGGGAGCCTAAATTCTCACTCTCTTTAAGATTAAGAAGCATTATTATTGTAGTGATGGAAGCTAATTTTGACATTGGCCTAAAAGTCAGACATATCACACAGGAAATTTGTTCCTTCCCTCCCATCAGCAAAACCACTATTTCCTGTTCCCCCCCATCACAAAATATTTTGTGCTAAATTAGATGAATTTTATGTTCTTTATCTTCAATTTGAATTTTCCATACCATTGTCAACCAGGTAATTAAGAAATGTCTGGAGGAAAATATAGACAGCACAATAATGCACTGTGGGTTTGTTTTGGGTGTTTTTTTGGGGGTAGGCTTTTGTGGGGGAGTAGTATTGGGGTTTGAACTTAGAGCCTCCTGCTTGTTAGGCCGGTGCTCTACCACTTGAGTTATGCCCCCAGCCTGCATTGTGTTTTATAGCAGATTTGACATCCCACAATCATTGTAATTGCTATGACTTTTAAACTGTGTGTTTTGCTGAGGAGCAGCAACGAAAACTACATATAACAAGGTATTCTAGGTCTGCAAGAGAAATCAACCAGGGATTGAAACAAATTTTAAGCAGAGCTGTATTATCCAGTAGACAGATATAAAGCATATGCTTAAACTGATTTTAAGCAATCTAATTTTTTTAAATGCATGTTTTTAAAAGCGTAAAAGTAATCACAAGAAACCTTGTTGTAGTTCCTTTTGCTTGCTATACTTTAATTCTGTTTAACTTTTATTATATTACCTGCAAGGATACAGGAAGGGGTCCATCATCTTTCCAGTGATTAAGGTCTTCGTGATCTCTCCTTTTATGTAATATTGATAACTATCCAAAGCACTTTCTTTTTTTGTGCTTCACAAGATTACAACCAACTGCCTCCCCAACTTTCCTGTTTGCTTACAGGCAGGATTCTTCTCCATCCCTGTTAAATAGGCCTCACCTTTTTAAGAGCCAGTCCACATAGCAGCTATTCCGGACGTTTCAGAAAAACCAATGCCCATCAGCCGTTTAACATGGGAAAGAAAAGAGGGAACAGACTGGTGGGCAGACGACTTTCTAAAATGAATTCGTTTAGCTAGGATTTTCTAAATTCCAGACCTATCGTGGCAAGGGTTGAGTTGGGGAAAGCGAAGAGTGCTTCACAGCAAACAGATATTACCTAGCTTATGAACGTAACTGTTCTTAACGTCGCTATGTTGCAGCAATTGATTTAGACTCACAACAGCCTCATACAGTAGGGGCTACTTTCAGCCACCTTTTCATATCTTCGAAAAATGCAAGGTATTTCCAATAGAAAATAGCTGGAAGGGGACTCGGGGAGCGGCCGGGAACAGCCGGTGAGCACAATCTCTGAATCACTGCACAACTCTGCTTCTAAAACATTGAGCACTTTTTCTGGTCTAGGAAGAATGACTTATTACCAAAAGTCTGTCCTCCTAAAGACACCTTCCTTTACTTTCCTATTTGTTTAGGGGGGTGATTCTTCCCTGTACACATCAACTGTGCCTAATCTTTTCAAGGACCAGACCTTACCCAGGCATTGCACTCCTTTCAGAAAAACCCTCGCCCAGACTTCCGTTTTGGTACCGGGAAGGGAGCGAGGAGGCAGGCTGGCCGAGTTGCCAACATGAATTCTTTAAGTAGGATTTCTGGCATTGTAGATCAGCCTGGACCTTGAACAAAAGGCATGAGAGGGAAGTATGTTATCTGAAACAAAGCAACGTCTCAAACTTAGTTAGTATGGGTAACACCGATTCTCAGTTGGACTCTTACCACGCGGGATGGGGGGGCGGCGGGGGGCGGCTTTGAGGTTTCTTCAGATTAAAAGAGGAAGCAATCTAAACGCTTGGTTTGAATTTGCAGTGAAGAAGCCCGCCTAAAATTTTCAGTGAAAAAGCCCGCTTAGCTTTTACTTTTTTTTGTAATGCCAGGGTATCGATGGGGCGGGGGAGGGGGAGAAGAAGGAAACGGATAGAAATTTAGTCTTACAATGAAGTAGCTCCGAGAACCACGTGCGCCTTTTTCTGGGCGGCCGGAAGACGCCTCGGTGAAGAGGTGTGGCCGGGGGCGCGCGCCCGGGCGCGGCGTGGCTCGGCTGGGTCGGCTTCGGGCCGACACCCCTAGGCTCGCCCTCGAGAGCGGCGAATTCGGGGGTGTCACGTTCACTTGGTATTCAAAGCGCACAGCGCCTCCAACGGTGGAAAAACGCGAGGGCGGGAGATCAAGTGTGGGGGCCCCGTTTGGCCAGCCAGGGAGGGAGGGCTCGGGGGCTGGTCACCGCAGGGCGGGGCGGGCCGCCTGCACCGGGCGGCGGAGGAGGGCGGAGAGGGAAAGTCTAGATACCCGGAGCTGCATGGAGCCCTCGGCGGACAAGCTAGCCGCGGCTGCGGCTCAGGGCCGTGCGGAGGAAGTGCGGGCGCTGCTCGAGGCTGGCGCGCAGCCCGACGCCCCGAATCGTTATGGTCGCAGGCCCATTCAGGTAGGTCCGCGTTCCAGCGGGTCCGCAGCGGAAGAAGAGGACTGCGGGCCACTCTGGAAGACGAGGTTGGCTGCGGACTCCGAAGCAGATAGTTCTTGACCCTGGAAAACAACGCTTTCTGGGGTGGGGTTGGAAAGAGAGACCGCGCGCTCAGGACTGGGGAGGGCAAAGAAGGAATGAGAAGGCACAAGGAGTATAGGTCTCCAAAATGCTGCGGAGATGGAAGTTGTTGTATAAGATTGAGGTGTGCTCTTTATCAGATACAAAATTTGCGAACGAAGAAATGAATTTCAAAAATGATTGGCTAGGACCATTAACCCTGACCCATGAATGGAGTTTGTCGTCTTCCTTGATAATGGAGATTTCATTGGAAATCTGCCACCGTGCATGTTGTAATAAATAGCGATTGAAATTATTCAGCAGCAACTACATATTGTGTTTATTTTTAACTGAGTAGGGAGATTGATGCTTGTACGAACTTAGTAAATAAAGATAAATATATGAAGAAAAACAGTGTTATCTCGCTCGAGATGTCCAATTAGTTACCATTAGGGTGTATCCCAACAATTTTTGCTATTTTTAACTTAACTGATATAGTTTAACTTACTTGAAATAGAGTTTTCAATTTTTCCCTCTACCCTCCGGTTCTATGGGGGTAGGAACAAATGGATTTTTGTTTCGTTTTTGCTTTTACAAACTTTCTAAATTTCAAGCTAAATCCCGAATTCTTTCTGACAGTCAGTGTTATTCCCAGTGGTGACCATTACTTCTGGTTCTAAAAAAGAAAAATTATATGAAACAAGTGCATACTGCAAAAATGAGCATAACTAGACAAAGGGAAGTAACTCCAGTTTCAACTTCGCACACTGCACAAATAAGTCTTCTTCCCTGAATCTATGCAACATAGAATAAATCTTACACACTTTAAAACACGGGTATAAAACTAAAACCAAAGTCCTTTAACATTTGAGATTATTTGAAGTTCAAGTATGGAGACATTTTAAAGGTAGACAGACTGGGTGACTGTACAAGGTTAAGCATGAGTCCTTTAAAAATAATCTCATGATTCATAACGATACAGAGTCTGGATTTTGAGTTCTAGAATATGTTAGAAAACACATTATTTGATTAAATACAAAAATGAAAAAATAATTACCTTTGACTATTATTTAGTAGGGAGGGGAAAGAGGAAATGGCTTTGTTTTAGAACCTTAACCAAATTGCTGTGTAATACAGAAACAGTTTATAGAAAATTTAAAGGACTAAACTTAATTTCCTATCAAATAGATTGAAGAACTCTCCAAACATTCATTTTCTTTTTGCTTTGGACTGCTATTATGACCTAAATATTTTAATGTAATCACTTTTCAGCTTTTTCATGCCATAAAGTATGTAAAAAACACCCTTTAAGGCCAGTTTTATGACCAAAATGAAGGATTTTGTTATATACACACAATGCACAACGATATTTCTTATTGTAATTGAAATTTAGTTAATTTGTATTTTTCCTTGTTCTTTCTTTTTATCATGACATTTTAGCTTGTTTGACATAAAGGTAGCTACACAAGGAGTTTCCTTATGATATATATATATGATATATATATATGATAGATATAGATATATATCTATATCTATATCTAGATATAGATATAGATATATATATATCTATATATCTATATAGATATATATCTATATCTATATCTATATAGATATATATATATCCCCCAACTGGTTTATCTCCTTTAATTTTCTTCATTCTACCTTAATCTCTTCCTTGTGGCAGTTTCAGTCAGTTTAAGATTTCTATATTATTTCTTGTATAGACAGTATATCAACCATATTCAAGTTCTTTTTTCCTTCTTTTACCCTTCCCCTTCCATGTGTGACCTCCCCCTAGTATGACCAGTGTTTCATAATATTACTACATTTATATTAGGTCTATATTCCACATATGAGAGAGAACATGAGGCTTTTGGCCTTCTGAACCTGGCTAACTTCACTTAAGATGATGTTTTCCAGTTCCACCCATTTACCTGCAAATGACAAAATTTCATTCTTTGTGGCTGAGTAAAATTCCATTGTGTTTAAATACCACTTTTCTCAATCCATTCGTCAGTAATGGGGCACCTTGGCTGTTTGCATAGCTTAGCTATTGTGAATAGTGCTTGTTTTTTTCTCTTTGAAAACTAAATCAGCTTCACTTTATTCAGGGCAAGATTTAACAATAAAATGATTTATTACGGTTCATTGATGTAGAAAATTAAGTGATTCATATTTAATTGATACAGAATGTCATTAAAAATAGGCAATTCCTCTTTGAACAGTCACTAACCAAATAATGGTTACCCTATGATAATTAAGGTTACTTCCCTTACACACACCTTGTAACAATTACCACTTCTGGGCTTGGATATATAGTGGTAAACTACACAAAATTTCCGATTCTAACATAATTTCGTCTCAAAAGGATAGAAAAGGAAGTTGTAATAAAAGCCAGTTTTTCCTCATCGTTTTGTTGTCTGTGCCTCTGGCAGTGTTGTGTGTAGTTAGTGCTCCTCGAAGGGTTGGAGAATACAGTGGAATTCCGTGTACACTGAAAAATGGAGCGGGTAGAACCTGAGAGGGGCGTTGGTAACTGGAAGCTAATGAAAGACAGACACCCTTGGACTTCTTTGGTTGTCTGCACTGGGTGGAGGTGAGGCTTCCTAAATAAGGTTTCTTTCAGTCAGTCTTGCCTCTACTCTCGCCCTGACCACTGTCCTCTCTTCCCCAGGTCATGATGATGGGCAACGTTCGCGTGGCGGAGCTGCTACTGCTCCACGGCGCGGAGGCCAACTGCCCGGATCCCGCCACGCTCACCCGACCCGTGCACGACGCAGCCCGGGAGGGCTTCCTGGACACGCTGGTGGCGCTGCACGGGGCCGGGGCGCGGCTAGATGTGCGCGATGCCTGGGGCCGTCTGCCCGTGGACCTGGCTGAGGAGCGGGGTCACCACCACGTCGCGCGCTACCTGCGCTCCGCAGGTAGCCAAGCCGGCGCAGTTGCCACGCAAGCCCCCCCAGGTGAGGACAAATGATCCAAGAATTTGAACCCTGAGAGCTTAGTCAAGCTGAACGAACTCTCGAAAGTTTGAGCCCGGGCTCGCTTCAGCTACCACTGGGATCGCTCTTGTCTGAGCGACAGGGAAGATGCAACCTGAAATGATGGACTCACACACATGAAAGCCGATCTCACCCCCATCCCCACCAAACACACACTACCATCCACTTCCCATTCCTGAAGGAGGCTGGAGTCTAGTATCCCCGACTCCTCTAAACTAGGCATTAGTCGAAGGACTCATTTCCCCCCATTGACATACCTAAGTTGCTGGACCAACTCCACAATTTCCAAATCCATTTGTGCCAGGCACCTCCACCTTACGCAGTGTTTTCCAGAGCTCCTTTAAGGATGTGTGTGTGTGTGTGTGTGTGTGTGTGTGTATCAGGGATGGATACACTTGTAGTCTGCACCGGCAGTTAGATTAGGACCCTTTCTTTTCCTTTTTATCTTAAACTTTCTTTATCTAGGAGATCGCTGAATCTGAGAGAAGCGTATAGCCCCACCTCTCCTTTCAAATCTTCAGTAACCTTGAAGTCTTACTTTTCCGAAGGTCCAATCCCCTCCACCTCCACGCCTGTCTGCCAGAAGTGCCAATTTTACTCGATTTTTCCTGGATAGAGAAAAATTTTTGATCCAAACTATATGAAGCACTATACAAAATTAAAATGAAATTCAAGGTAAAACTGAAATCGTATTTTGGTTCAGAACTGTGGAAAACGGAGTGATAAGAGATGCTGTGAATACAGAAGGCAAAACCTAAGCTGCGAATATGAAGTGAGAGGCTCAAATATCTTCAGTCGGGCCACTCTCTCACTCTCTCCACCTCTAATTTGTAGCTTGAATCCAGAATAGGTGTTAGGAGGAAAAGCCAATCAATGGCGGCACTCCTGGAAGGCGGAGTGAGAAGCGGGAGAAGCCAAGGCACAGAGAGTGAACTGTGGGATTGTACCAACTGAATAATTTCAGTGACCCTTAATAACCAAATATAAGATATCTAACCCTGGCGCGTTTTCTTCTTTTTTATCTTCTTTCCTTTCCTCCCTCTTTCCCTTTCTCTTCAATCCCTCCTCTTCAAGTACAATTACAGGATCCTAGGTGTTCTTGGAAATTAATTCCAGGAATCCCTATGGATACCAAAATTCTAGAATACTCAAGTCCCTTATAATAAAACGGCATGGTATTTGAACATAACTTACACCGTCCCCCGCCCCATATAATTTTTTTTAATGTTTTGCTGTGCTTGGAATGGAACAGAAGGCCTGTGTTTGCTAGGCAAGCGCTCTACCTCTGAGCTACAACTCCTACCCGCCTCCTGTATACTCTAAATCATCTCTAGATTACTTATAGTACCTAATACAATGCAAGTAGTAAGTGGATAGTTGTTACACTCTAGTATTGTTTAGGAAATGATAAGAAAAAAGTTCAGTACAGTCGTAATCGTGGTAAACCTAACAACATTTTCAAAGGGGGTTAGTTGAACCCACAGGTAGGAAACCTATGAATACCCCTCTACATTTTGGGGTGGGAGATAAACGCAGGACTAGGCAAGCACTCTACATTTTTGTGGGGGGGCAGTTCTGGAGTTTGAATTCAAGGCCTCTTTGTGCTAGGCAGGCTCTCTACCGCTTGAACTACTCTTCCATCCCTTTTTACTTTACTTGTTTTTCAGGTAAGGGTTTTTGTTTTTGGCCCCTGCCAGCCTAGACCTCCATCGTCCTACTTATGTCTCTGCATAGCAGTAATGACGGACGTGCACCACTGCACCAGCTTTTTCGTTTAGATAGGGGGTCTCTTTCGCTAACATTTTTTTTTTTTTTGCGTCGCTGGCCTTGAAACTTGATCTTTTCCATCTCTTCCTTCAGAGTGGCCACTCAACAGCGATTCTTTAGTAAAGACGTCCTTTGAGTTGGCTGAGTGGCTTAAGTGGTAGAGCATCTGCCTATCAGGCCTGAGGCCTTGAGTACAAATCCCAGTTCCGCCAAAAAAAAGAAGAAAGATGTCGCTAAGTGATCAACCTCATTCTAGTTGCTGAGGACACAAAAGTGAAAAGGACAAAACAAGAATCCTGCTTTCATGAAGTTTGGGTTCTGGGAAACAGACTTTAATCTGTAAGCAATTATATTTTTAGACCGTAAATTTATAAAGTCTTTGAGGCGAGTTAAGTGTGAACAGGAGAGACTAAATAGAGTTTAGAGAACCTGAGTAAAAGGGAAGTAACCATTGGAGGTAGCGAGAATCTCAAGTGCAAAGATTGTAGCAAGAATAACCCTGGAAGATTAGGCGGACCTACAACCTGGAGCGTGTTGGCCGGGAGATTAGACAGCAGAAACCAGATGCTGCAGGGACCCTGTAGATTAAAAAAGCGCATCCGTTTTGTTTCACAAATGACAGGAAGCCATTGACGGGTTTGGGGAAGGGTGTGGAGTCAGAGGCTAAAGGAGAACCAGTTTCTCACACTGTGGATCTGCCCCAGAGCCTGCTGTGCCCTTTGGTCACGCAAATCACTGGCTCTTTCTGCACCAGGTGCAAGAAGTGCCTGGAGATGTGAAAAGGGGAGGCGACATCTTCAAGTCCGACTTCTTGTGCGATGTAGGGCAAGGACTTGGCATTCCTTATATACTCCTTGTCACGTGGAGCGGCCAGACCAGCAGTCCACGCACTGCCTGTCCAACGAACAGATAAACTCAGAAAATGACCCTACATCCTGGCTAGGCGGATATGGAGAGAAGGCGAAGCCATTCGCAGAAGTTGTTCAAAGCCACCTGAATACCCAGCGGTGAAAACAAGATCTGAGGAAGGGGTGGACCGCAGTCTTTGACTTCTGGTTTCTAATGCCGGTTTTCTCCTCTCTTTGCAGACAGCCCTGACGTAGATCGTCAATCCAGGAAGGCAGAAGAGTCCTAGAACCTGTCCGACGTCACCCAATGCTTCCCTGCTTGCTTAAAATTGCGCTTTTTAGCCGGGCGCTGGTGGCTCACGCCTGTAATCCTACCTGTTCAGGAGGCAGAGATCAGGAGGATCGAGGTTCGAAGCCACCCCGGGCAAATAGTTCGCGAGCCTCTATCTTGAAAATATCAATCACAAAAAAAAAAAAAAAAAAGGGCTGATGGAGTGGCTCAAGGTGTAGGTCTTGAGTTCAAACCCCAGCACCGAAAAAAAAATAATGCTTTAAAATGCAAATTGCTCTTTTACATAAACTGCCTTCCCTCTTCCTTAATTCCCATCACCATAAAAGGTATATTTAAAAAATCAGTATTCCTGCCTTTTCATTGCGAATTTTCTGGGCTGAGTACCCAGTGCTGAGCTCATATCTGTGTGGACACTTCCTCTTTCTTGCCTCACCCTCACCCGGCGCCAGCCCCGGCGCTGTTGCCTGTATTACAGCCATTTAGAGAACTAAGAAAGCTCAAAGGGGTTACATGCTTTTCTCGGTTCAAAATGCCGGCAAACGGTAGAGTCAGGACTCTAATTTTAAAAATAGTTTCCATTAACTCATTTATTCAGGCAACATTTATTGTCTATTATCGCATTGTGCCAAGGATATAGAGACAGAGACGCACATCAACTAATCACAAAATACATGACTGGAAATTTTAACTCCAATTTCACTGAATCACAGACATTTGTGATATTTGCTCTCTCATGTACCTCTGAAGTTAGAGTATGACACACCAAGGATTGTAAGGCACCTGCAGATGTTAGAGATGATAAAATATCAAAACCCCCAAGACTCAGAATCGATGAAATGCAGTTAAAATAATGGATGGAAGGGTACTCCAGGGACCCTTCGGTTATTGCCCAGCTACCAGTAGCGAATATCAGGAGGTTTGGGTATGTTGCTCAAGTGGCTGTTACCAAATGTCACCCACAGCCTAGGCTCTCCCTATGCAGTGGCTGGAATGGGGGTCTGGCTTCCCCTCTGAGCTCCACCTTGATGTTGCCACTGACCCTGCCTTGCTGTTACCATTGACCCTTGTGCAAAAATGCAACTCTAGGTTTCTCTACAGAACAGGAGATGCTGCAGGGATGTGGCTGAAATATCAGCTGTGCTGCAAGACACTTCTGTCCACCTGCACCATTGCTCCATTATTTAAGTTTATTTATTTACTTATTTATTTATTTATTTTAATGGAGATGTACTCACAACATAAAAGTAACGGTTTAAAGATGTACAATTAGCAGAGGAGGGTGGTACATGCCTGTAATTTCTTTTTTTTTAAATTTTATATTATCTTTATTTTGCTATGAGAAAAGTATTGTGCTTTTAGTTATCATGTTTGCTGTGTTAAAATACTTCTCATTCAGAAAATTTTTCTGATTTCTAAATTAACTCTACAGTACACATACAATAAATATGTATATTATACATATGCTATTCACGTCAGGTATACTATACATATAATAAGATACACACATGTTAATTTTCATATATATTTTTTATTATTATTATTATTCATATGTGCATACAATGCTTGGGTCATTTCTCCCCCCGCCCCACCCCCTCCCTTACCACCCACTCCGCCCCCTCCCTCTCCCCCCCACCCCCTCAATACCCAGCAGAAACTATTTTGCCCTTATCTCTAATTTTGTTGAACAGAGAGTATAAGCAATAATAAGAAGGAACAAGGGTTTTTGCTAGTTGAGATAAGGATAGCTATAGAGGGAGTTGACTCACATTAATTTCCTGTGCATGTGTGTTACCTTCTAGGTTAATTCTTCTTGATCTAACCTTTTCTCTAGTTCCTGGTCCCCTTCTCCTATTGGCCTCAGTTGCTTTTAAGGTATCTGCTTTAGTTTCTCTGAGTTGAGGGCAACAAATGCTAGCTAATTTTTTAGGTGTCTTACCTGTCCTCATATCTCCCTTGTGTGCTCTTGCTTTTTTCTTGTGATCAAAGTCCAATCCTCTTGTTGTGTTTGCCCTGGATCTAATGTCCACATATGAGGGAGAACATAGATTTTTGGTCTTTTGGGCCAGGCTAACCTCATTCAGAATGATGTTCTCCAATTCCATCCATTTATCAGCAAATGATAACATTTCGTTCTTCTTCATGTCTGCATAAAATTCCATTGTGTATAGATACCACATTTTCTTGATCCATTAGTCAGTAGTGGGGCATCTTGGCTGTTTCCACAACTTGGCTATTGTGAATAGTGCTGCAGTAAACATGGGTGTGCAGGTGCCTCTGGAGTAACCTGTGTCACAGTCTTTTGGGTATATCCCCAAGAGTGGTATTGCTCTGATCCAAGAGTGGATCAAATGGTAGATCAATGTTTAGCTTTTTAAGTAGCCTCCAAATTTTTTTCCAGAGTGGTTGTACTAGTTTACATTCCCACTAACAGTGTAAGAGGGTTCCTTTCTCCCCGCATCCTCTCCAACACCTGTTGTTCGTGGTGTTGCTAATGATGGCTATTCTAACAGGGGTGAGGTGGAATCTTAGTGTGGTTTTAATTTGCATTTCCTTTATTGCTAGAGATGGTGAGCATTTTTTCATGTGTTTTTTGGCCATTTGAATTTCTTCTTTTGAGAAAGTTCTGTTTAGTTCACTTGCCCATTTCTTTATTGGTTCATTAGTTTTGGGAGAATTTAGTTTTTTAAGTTCCCTATACATTCTGGTTATCAGTCCTTTGTCTGATGTGTAGCTGGCAAATATTTTCTCCCACTCTGTGGGTGTTCTCTTCAGTTTAGAGAGCATTTCTTTTGATGAGCAGGAGCTTGTTAGTTTTATGAAGTCCCATTTGTCTATGCTATCTCTTAGTTGCTGTGCTGCTGGCATGCCTGTAATATCATATACAAGGAAAGAGGAGGCTGGGGCAGGAGAATCCTGAGTTCAGGCCAGTCTGGGCAAAATAGCCAGACTTTGTCTCAGGGAATAATTAATTGGCATTTGGTAGTTCACAGTGTTGCTCAACCATCACTCTTATCTAGTCCCAATACATTTTCATGATCTCTAAAGGAAGCCTCATTAAGCATACCAGCTATTTCTTGCCCCCGGAATCTTATTTTGTCTCTCCAGATTTACGTATTCTGGATATTTCATAAGAATGGAATCACACACTATGTGGTCTTTCATGTCTGCCTTTTTTCATTTACCATAATGTTTCTGAGGTTCATTCATGTTGCAGCTTGTATCAGTGCTTCTTCCCTTTCTAATGGCTGAATCACATTCCATTGCATGAGAATATTGCAACTTGTGCATCTATTCACCTGGTGATGAATATTTGAGTCATTTACACGTTTTGACTATTGTGATAATGCTGCAAGGAACTGGTACAAGTATTTGTTTTAATACCTGTTTCTAATCCTTTTTTATATAGGCTTAAAAGTAGTATTGCAAGGTCCTAAAATAATTCTGTATTTAACTCTGAGGAACCACTAAGCTGCTTTCCACAGGAGCTGCACCATTCAACATTTCCACCAACAATGTACAAGGGTTCCAATATTTCCACATCCTAACACATTTTTGTTACTTTTCAAAGAACGATTCTAGTGGATGTGAAGTGGTATCTCACTGTGGTTGTGATTTGCATCTCCTTAAAGAATACTGATATTTAGCCTCTTTTCATGTATCTATCTGAAACACATGTATATTCTTAGGAGAATTGTCTATTCACTTCTTTGCCCATTTTTAAATTGGGTACTTCTGCTTTTTGCTTTGAGTTATAAGAGTTATTTGTATATTTGACACTAGATCCATATATATATATATATATGTTTTATCACTTTTTTTATGTGTGTGTGTGTGTGTGTGTGTGTGTGTGTGTTGCTAGGTATCAAACTCAGAGCCTCTCTTACATGCTTTTACATGATAGATAAGTGCAATGCAAATATGCTATACCCTAGTCCACTTTCTTGATTGTGTCCTTTGATTTATAATACTTTAAAGTATAATTAATATACTTTTGTTGTTGTTGTTGTTGTTGTTTGTGTTTTTGATGTTGTACCTGAGAATTCATTGCCAAATCAAAGAACATAAAGAGTGCAGAGGCCTTAATCCCAGCACTCCAAGGCTGAGGCAAGAAGATTGCAAGTTCAAGATCAGCTTTGGGATTGCAAGACCCTATTTCAAAAACAATAAACATACAACAACAAAAAAAACCTACCCTTAATTTTTTATTCTATAACTTTTTATTTTTAGCTCTTATACTTAGGACTTTGATCCATTTTGGTAAAATAGAAGATTTATATGATCTGAAAAGAAATCAGAGTCTGGGACTACTTTGATCCCTTTTGGGTTTTTTTTTTTTTGACATATGATCTAATGAAGGGTTCTAATTTAATTGCTTTGATGTGTGTTATTCAATTGTCCCAGTACCCTTTTTAATGAGACTATTCCTTGCCAACTGAATGCTCTTGGGATTCTTGTCAAAAATGAATTGACCATCGATGTATTTATTTATTTCTGGATTCTCAACTCTAATCCATTGGTATATGTGTCTATCTGCATGTCAAATTTCATACATTTTGAGTGCTGTAGCTTTGTAATATGTTTTGAAATTGAGTCCTCCAAATTTGTTCTTTTTCAAAGCTGTTGCTCTTTTTCAAGATTATTCTGGGGGCTCCCTGCAATTCCATAAAATTTTAAGATCAGCTTTTCCAATTCTTCAATAAAAGAGAAGAAGGTCATTGGCACTGTGATAGGCATTTTATTGACTACATAGGTAGCTTTGGGCACTGTTGTCATCTTGACAATATTAAGTCTTCCAAATCCATAAACACAGTATTTCTTTCTAGTCATTCAGGTCTTCCTTAAGTTCAGCAATATTTTCATAGTTTTTAGTGTAAAGCTACTGCACCTACTTGGTTAAATTGATTTCTAAGTATTTTGGGTTTTTTTGATTCTATTGTAAATGGAATTTTCTTAATTTCCTTTC